ACTCTGACAGGTGTGAGATGGTACCTCATTGTTGTTTTGATTTGTATCTCTTGGATGATTAGTGACTTTGAGCATGTTTTCATATGTCTCTTGGCTTTCCGAATGTCCTCTTTTGGAAAGTGTCTGTGTAGGTCCTTTGCCCATTTTTTGGTTGGATTGTTTATCTTCCTTTTGTTAAGTTGTATGAGTTCTCTGTAAATTTTGGAGATTAAACTCTTATCTGAAATAGCATTGGCAAATATGTTCTCCCATGAAGTGGGCTTTCTTGTTGTTTTGTGGCTGGCTCCTTTTGCTGTGCAGCAGCTTTTTATTTTGATGTAGTCCCATTGGTTTATTGTCTCCTTAGTCTCCATTGCCCTAGGATCTGTGTCTGTAAAGATATTGCTACGACATATGTCTGCTATTTTGCTGCCTATGGAGTCTTGTAGGATTTTTATGGTTTCCCATCTTACATTTAAGTCCTTTAGCCATTTTGGGTTTGTTTTTGTGTATGGTGAAGTTGGTGATTAGTTTTATTTTTTTTTTGCATGTATCTGACCAAATTTCCCAGCACAGCCCCACTTTTAAATTTAAGAAATGTGCCCCATGTTGTAAGAGAGTCAGAGCTACCAGCACACAGGTGAGAGGGCACATGACCCACAGGCACGCGGGTGAGAGGGCACGTGACCCACAGGCATGCGGGTGAGAGGGCACATGACCCACAGGCACGCGGGTGAGAGGGCACGTGACCCACAGGCAGGCAGGTGAGAGGGCACATGGCCCACAGGCACGCGGGTGAGAGGGCACATGGCCCACAGGCAGGCGGGTAAGAGGGCACGTGACCCACAGGCAGGCGGGTAAGAGGGCACGTGACCCACAGGCTCCTGCATACACACCAGCTCCTCCCGAGGAGGCGTTGGCCTGGCTGAGGCTGAAGAATGAGAGAATCCAGAGGACCCGAAGGCTGCCTCCCCACGTGGCAGCCGCGCTGAGGCCTGGCAGAGAGGAGGGGATCAGGAACCTTCTGGACCCGAGGCCGCATGTGCATGTGGCTCTGCCCCAGCAGCCCCTCTCCCTTGGCCTGAGCAGAGCTGGTGATGCTGGCAGCCGTCCCGCGTCGGACAGTGGACCGGCTCTTACCCTCTCTGGCTGCTGGAACCCGGGACCGCAGGCTGAGAGGGTCACACGGCAGGCGTATACCTCGCAGCTCTGGAGGCTGGGGAGCCCCAGGTCACTGGGGCACCTGGTGCGGACCTGCCTCCTGCTCCAGATGGCATGTCCCGGTGCCCTCACGCGGCAGAGGACCCTCCTGCGCGCCCTCCTGTGCGTGTGCCAGGTCCTCCTCATGACCTCTGACCCCCGAGGGCCCCCTCCTACCACCTTCACATGGGTGTTAGGGTTTAATATGTGAAATATGGGAGGAGGGGGGGACACAAATATTCAATCTGGTTTTCAAAACATGTTATTTATGCAAATTGAATCGTTAGCGCTTGTTGCCTGTTACCTGAGGGAACAGCGTTTCCGACAGGACGAGGAGGTGAGATGTGGCTGATTTCAGGTCCTGGCGATATGTGTGTTTCTCTCGAATAGGGGAGCTCTGAAGTGACCGGTCAGAGCTCTGTAACTCTCGCCCTATTTGCCTGAGCAGCTGCTTTTTCCTTCCTTTTCCGCGTGGCCTTTCCTGGTGGAGAAGAGACAGCTTTCTCCCGGCACGCGTGTGCACGGCGTTCTCTGAGATGCGTGTTCATTGCGGGACCACAGGGCGCACACACCTCCACGCCTCCAGGTCCCGCCAACCCGCTTCCCACGCGCCTGTGCCCATCCACGCCCATGGCCGGGGGCAGTCCCCATAGTTCTCGGCAACTGTCGGGCTTTCTGCTCTTCCCCAGTCTCGTGAATGGACGTGACTTCACGATCGGATTTACCTGGTTGTGGGGGGCTGAGTGTCTCTCCCATGTTCGCTGGCCATGTGACACCTTCACCGGGAATCCTTCGCATGGACGTTCGCCCATTTCCTTTCGGTCTCCTTGCTACGTAAGACCTTCAACTTTATCGACTCTGTGTTACACATCCGTTTTCCCAGTCTAAGGCTTTGGTTTTCTTCTCTGTAAATGTTGTTCCTGCTATCGGAGCTGCGGAAGTTTCCCATTGGAGTTTTTGTCTGACCTTCATGACGTAACGGCTGGGGCATAATGCACGGCCACAGTTTTCCTACCAGTTCTGCGCTTCACATCCAGGGTTTCCATCTTCCTGGAATGGGCGTGTGTATGGTGTGAGGGAGGGATCTAACGCGTTTTATTGTTTTACGCATAGTATGTCTTTGCTGGCAGCGTTATCAGGACGTCCTTCCCCACTGACCTGTGACACCCTGACTGGCACATGGTTTGGGCCAAAATGTGTGGAGACTGGAGCCAGGCTGTCCTGTTCCAATTCAGGCTCTTGCCTCTTACTTCACAACGATGGTGACTAACGCTGTCTCGTGAGTGACCCTCCACCACCCTTACCTTCTCGTTGCCCTCGAACATTCTGACTACATGTGGTGCTTCGTTCTCCTGAGTAATACAACACCAGCTAGTGAAGAGCCACCAACAACTGTGCAAGGAGTCAAGGTGTCTTTGAACGCTGAGTAGTTTTTGGAAACCGATACTTATGCCCCCCTCGCTCACCGCGTGAGGCAGTCATTAGCAGGAAGAAATGCCGGTTTGTGTAAGGCCCCCACAGTCCTGGAAACAACTGTCCGACACCTTCCGGAACCATTCCGATGGTAGCTTTGGGGGGGAACGGCTTGGCCCCAAACTCTGTTTGTGCAATCCCAGGGAAGATGCAACTCAGCATTGTTGTGTGGTCTCCAAGCGATTTGCCCAGGACCTCCCGCCGCGATCTCCGTGAACTGGCAGCTTGGTCCTTGGTGAGGTCACCCCAGCAGGTCCCCGGGCAGATGGCCAAACCCGACACCAGGCTGAGTCAGAGCCCAGACACCCACGTGCACAGAGCTCCCTCCTCGTCTGCAGCTTGAGTCGTGGTCTGGACCAATTAGGAGAACTCCCAGGATGGACAGCAAGTCCACCGGGTTCCTGTTGCTCAAGTTCGGTTCAGACACGTTTTAGGACAGGCCGCCTGGCAGGAAGCACACCCATAGCGCTGTCTGCGCAGCAGGCGGTGACGCGCGTCCGTTTGCCTCATGGAAGGAATTCCAAGGCCCGTGATTGTGGTCTGCAGCTCCGTCTGGAATTAAAGGCAGCGCGGCTTGCGGCTCCCAGCCGGGCCTGTGCTTGGGGATGTCCCGGCGGCTCCGCAGGTGCTCGGGCCCAGCCTGGGACACGGGGATCACAGACACAGGCGTCGGTGTGTTTCAGATGTTGCTTGCGTGGTTTCAGCGTGTGGCCCCTGTGAGAACCTTGGCTTAGTGCAGCCGTGGACAAACTATGGCCCACGGGCCGGATCCGGCCCGTTTGAAATGAATAAAACTATTGAAAAAAAAGACCGCACCCTTTTATGTAATGATGTTTACTTTGAATTTATATTAGTTCACACAAACACTCCATTCATGCTTTGGTTCCGGCCCTCCGGGCCAGTTTAAGAACCCATTGTGGCCCTCGAGTCAAAAAGTTTGCCCACCCCTGAGTTAGTGCAAACCTTCAGCAGCTGAGAGAGTGAGTGGCCCTGGCCGCTGTTCAGTGGTCACAGCAGTGGCCCGAGGACTGAAGGCTCTTGGGCTCAATTCCTGGTCAAGGGCACATACCTTGGCTGCAGGCCCGATCCGGCCATCTCTCTCTCTCTCTCTCTCCTCCTCTCCCTTCTACTCTCTGTAAAAATCAATGGAAACACATCCTCAGGTGAGGATGAAAAAACAAAACAAAAAGCAACAGCTTCTCGGCTAAGGAGCAGAGTGACTCAGACCCAAGAGGCACCCCATGTTACTTCTACTCCACGTCAACGGACAGCCGCCTGGGAGCCTGCGTTCTCCTTTGATTGGCAGGTAGCACGTGCGGGCGGGGCAGGGAGAGCTGCAAGTCACCTCGGTCCTGCCTTGGCCCCAAGAGAGGCACCGCGTGGGGGAGGGCCAGCACCTCCCTGTGGCCGGAGCACAAGGCGCAGCCGTAACGAAGCCCGAGCAGGTCCTCCCACCTCTGGACAGCATGTGCTCCTGCAGCGGTCTTTTAAAAATCATAGGCCAGCGCGAGCTGGTGTGGCTCAGTGATGGAGCGTCAGCCTGCGGACTGAAGGGTCCCCATTTCGATTCCGGTCAAGGGCACATGCCCAGGTTGCAGGCTTGATCCCCAGTAGGAGGCGTGCAGGAGGCAGCCGATCCATGATTCTCTCTCATCATTGATGTTTCCATCTCCCTCGCCCTTCCTCTCTGAAATCAATACAAATATATTTTTAAAAATTATAGGACCAATTGCATCACTGATAGTCCTTGACCTCTGGTAGTAAGCACGCCAAGTCCAGGTTCGTAAGGCAGCCTGCGCTGAGGAGCCGCCCGGCGTGGGCTGTGTTCTTGTCACTGAGCGTCTAGAGCAGCGGTTCTCAAGCTTCCTGATGCCGCGACCCTTTAATACAGTTCCTCATGTTGTGGTGACTCCCACCATATAATTATCTTCATTGCTACTTCATAACTGTAATTTTGCTACTCTTATGAATCGTCATGTAAATATCTGATCTGCAGGATGTATTTTCATTGTTACAAATTGAACATAATTAAAGCATAGTAATTAATCACAAAAACAATATGTAATTATATGTTTTCTGATGGTCTTAGGCGACTCCTGTGAAAGGGTCGTGCGACCCCCAAAGGATCGTGACCCACAGGTTGAGAACCGCTGGTAGAGAAATGTGACGTTTTATGGACGTTGTTATGAAAGGGAAACCTGAAACCACTCTCCCAGGATGCATTGTTCCTGGCCTCGTGGCTGAGCTTTGTATTCCCAGGGGCGCTCCGTCCAGCAGCGACGGCCTGGCCTCACCCCGCGGAGGGGCGGCCGGAGCCGGCATTTCAGTAAGCCGCGTGAGCACGGCCGCTGCGGTGCGGTCTGCGCGGTTCACAGGTGGCCTCCTCATCCTCAGCCCGCAGCGAGGCAGTGCGGCGCTCCTCCTCCGTTTACAAGCGAAGAGGCCAAGGAACCAAGAGGTGAGCCCCGGCTCCAGCCACGCAGCCAGCAGGTGTGGCCCGCACTCCCAGCCCTGGCCATCCGCCCCCGGCACCGCGTCCTATTGCTCCGCTCTGAGGAACGTGTCCGTGCTTCACAGACAGGCATGCCTTTGGCCTGTCAAGGTCAAGATCAAGGTCAGAGATCCTGGAGGGCACTGTCCATTTGGTGGGGAAAAGGACCCCATGTAGCAAGGTGTGGTGTGAGCATGTGCGACCTTCCCCCCCAGTGTTGCTTCATTGGGGGACCCCTCACCCCACTTTGACACTCAGCTCCTCCACTCACGGCTATACCCCACTCGCTTTACAAGGACAATAGTAGTAGCTGCTGCAAAACCTCTGACAAAAAAACAAACAAACAAACAAACAAAAAATACCTCCGACCAGGGACCAGGAGAGAGGCCGGGAGGGGCTCAGACCATCCCAGCAGGAGCGCGGGCCTCCCTGGGGGTGCACAGTAGCCCCCTGTGCCTGGGCCCCGCAGACTCAGAGAGTCGGGGAGTGAGGGTTCCTGGCTGAGGCAGGGGCTGAGGTGGGCAGATCAGCATTAGTTAGACGTTCCAGGCCTATCCTCAGGCCTGCTCTCCCTGCGTGACCTGTGCAACCTCAGCTGTCTCCACGTTCACCCACAGACAGAGACGAAATGCAGCCTGCCCTGACGGCTTCCCAGCCCCAGAGAACGAGGCTCTTATAACCCAGACTCAGCGTGTCCTATGGGCAGCGGCGTGTTCTATGGGCAGT